CTCTGTATCATGGTTTGGCACATGCTGGTCCTGAGAATTTACATGCAATGATTTCAAAAACCTGGTGGTGGCCAAAGCTGAGAGCTTCTTGCAATGACTTTTGTAAAAGATGCTTAGTATGTCTTAAAGTGAATTCCCCAGCAAAGCTAAAGATTCCTTTAGGACATGCCCCTCGACCTCAGGGGCCATGGACCCACCTTCAAATTGATTTCATAGGTCCCCTGCCCCCTAGTGGAGGCTTTTCATACATTCTGATGATTGTTGATTTGTTTTCCAGATGGGTGGAGGCGTTTCCTCTGAAAAACTGCACCGCAGACGCAACTGCAAAAATTCTGTTGAATGAAGTTTTCCCCAGATGGGGTTTACCATTGCACATTGACTCAGATCAGGGCACACACTTCACGGGGAAGGTAATGAAGAATGTGATGAAATTGATGGGAGTGAAACAACACTTCCACATACCGTTTCGTCCTCAGTCTAGTGGTTCTGTCGAGCGTTCTAATCGGACGATTAAAACTTCATTGAGAAAGAGATTGTTGGAGTGGGGGAAGGGATGGCACTCTGCTATCCCAACCATTCTTTTAAGTATGAGAGCCAGCCCGAACAAAACTACTCAGATCAGTCCCTTTGAGATAATGACAGGTCGCTACATGCGACTGCCCTGGGACGCTCCTCTGCAACATGAGGGACCGTCAGGGCCTTTGAAAGATGCTCTGCAAAATTATCTGAAGGCTTTGGATAACTGTTTAAAAGACACCAGGGTTAGTGTCAGTATCCGACAAGCAGAGAAAGATAACACTGAGCAAAAAGACATGCCTGCGTTGCCTGAGATAGGTGACAGTGTAATGTTGCAAAGGGAGATAATCTCTCCTCTGGGTCCGAAATTTGATGGACCTTACCAAGTTCTGTTGACTACTAATACATCTGTTTTACTCGACAGAGGTGTGTTGGGTACAGTATGGAGACATTGGTCACAGGTGAAACCACTTGAGAGGTGTTGCAACCAGAATACCACCACATAATAACATGATAAATCGTACCTCTTCAATATCTGTCGTATATGATTTTTCTAAATTCTGGCATTACTGTTTTATCATTTACAGATGGCTGAGCCAGACGACTTATTGAAGCTGCTAATTCTGCAAGAAGAAGTGCGTAAGGAGAAGCGACGGAAAATGAGACGGGCTTTTGTTAGATTAGTACTCCCGCTCTCTTTTGTATGTTTAATCCTAATCGCTTTGTCATTTCTACTGTGGATACAGATTTCCATTTGGACCGGTCGATTCCATGCTTTTGCGACTAATTGGGATTGTGAAGAAACTGACAACCGTCCATCCTGGGTACAATACCCATGCCTAAATTCAACTGAGGGTCTAAATTTGATTTCGACTATGTATCAGAAGGTAAACGATAGATGCTATCGGTTGGACGGAAATGAGTCAGTGACCTATTGGCTTGGTCACTCCCCAAATTATCCCGGTAATACCCTCATTATGCAAAAAGGTCGTTGGGTGAGAGATGGAGGTGTTTATGTTTATGAACCGCATTTTAGCTCCATGAGTTGGATTCCAGACAGCATAGCCCATGAAAACCACACTGCCTGCTCCAAACGGATGAATATGGCTAATAGTTATCTGTTGAAACCCATGAAGAATGAGAATAGAGCAGGGCGGAAGAAGCGTCAGACCGTAGCATTAGGGGATTCCCACATGATTTTAGGAGGGAAACCAGTGAAACTTCCCCTTTATCCTAGTGCACCTGACCCTCGACACATAATGTCATATTACCTGCCCAAAGCTAAAGCTGAATTAGGTTCTAATCAGGTTGTCAAAGATGTGGTCCAAAGTTACATACATAGCAACATTGTTGTGAGAGAAGAACCAGGTTCAGACTTGTATCAACAGATCCTGAAGGATAAGGATTCGATGAGATGGAAAGTGTTAGTTCCCACGAGGGTTCACATGGTCCGATGGGACGTAGACAGGTCTTATGGTGCTGTTTGTGATCGATTCGGACGAATCGATAAGACTGATAAAAAGAATTTCGACCTTAATGGCAGTAAAAATGGTTTGCCTTTTGTCAATGCTTTTTCTCTCTCTTGGCCCAAGTATACTAGGTTTGATGATCCGTGGAAGGAGACAGTACAGGTGGAACGTTGTTTAGGTGAAAACATTCAACAATGGTTTGTTAAAACCTTTCCTCCAGGTGATGTTAAGAAATGTAAAACGATGTCGGAAAAACTCACAGGTGTAAAGGTGATGGAAGTGCCTATGGAAGTATGTAATTCCTCTTTTGTTAAGACAGGATACACTTGGACTAGTTTGTATGACGTGTTGCATCAGTACGAGCTCGTTAGGAGCTTTGCTAATAAAACGGCTCTTAAAATGGATCAATTGCATGATTATTTAGAAGGGAAATGTTACAGCCCTACCTCCATGGCTTATAATGTGACTGCCTGGATGCACCTTCATGTGCTTAAATTGACGATTGAATTGATGTATACTAGAATAAAGACTCGTCTGGTACCAGTGAAATATGAGGAGTTATTGTGGGATAATTATCAACCATTCCAGGTGAGGATGTGGCCTCAGTTAAAGGATGTAGCCATAGGGGATGAGTGGTTTGATAGGGAAAAACAATTTCGGCAGTTTTTGGGTCCGATCCAGTTGCATGACGAGTATAACATTTCTCCCAAGAACTGTGCTAGACATAGGTGGACGCATCCCTTGGGTCCCACGTGGCGTCCAGTGGATCAGAGTCAAGATGGTAATGGAGCGGAGGGTTCCCTTTGTGTTACTGAATTGAAGCAAGAAACTGAATATTTTCCCCAGGTAAAGGCCCAGGAAGCTCAGCAGAAATACATTACAGCTTTCCTTGAGCAGGTAAAGACGACTGATCCATTTGCAGGTTATGAGTATTTGAATTCTGCCTGGTTTAAGTCCAAGGGAACTTCTCTTATGTCGGACTCTGAAGCACCATCTGCTATTGCGGTGGCTTTTGTTTTGGCTTTTTCGGTTGGTGCTATATTCACAGATATGGCAGAAACTGTAGAAGAATATGTGGAAGAAGCTTGGGATGATTTGGTGACAGCATCGGAAGATATAGTCATGGGATTTGTGCACTACGTGCTGTATGCTGTGGGAGCCCTTGTGGGGGTGATGTTCCTCTGTTTGTGTATTTGGTTGTGTGTTCGTTTTTGTTTCTCCTATCTGTGCAGGACTGCATGCAGAAATCTGAATCCTGCTGAGGAGGAAAAGAGACTGCTGATGCTCACGACCCACCTGAGGGACAAATTGGATCAAAACAACATTGAAGCCCTGATGTGAGTGGAAGGTGGGAGAGCCTCTTAACGGGGACTGGACTTTTTAGTATCCAGCATGTCCGTGACGAGGTGAAGAGACAAGTGTGACCCGTCAGGGAAGCATGCGTCACCACTCCCCCTCTCCGTAGTGGCCTCACTTGATAGACCAGACGTGGCGGTATTGGACCACACATCGGTCTAAAACGGGGGACTGAAGGGTTGGGGTCAGAATCCCTTGCCTCTTCAATTTAACTATATGTATATCCTTTTTTATGATTACATTATTACTATAATAAGCACTAATCAAGTTATATAATCATTCCTATACGCAATAAATGATTCACATATAGTTTTTATTCATACTTCTGTTGAATGCACCTCTTTCCTGAATGTTGGGTGAAGGCCTATCTTTCATGAATGTCTTATGATGTCTGGGACTAATCTTCTGTGGCCCTGAGCAAGAACATTAAATACAGGCTTTTTGTCCGTATGTATACTAATGAGTTAAACTTAAAGAAAACCCTCATCATATGATCATGTTTCTCTGCTGACCCTATTAATGGGCAGGGGTCAATTTCTGTATGATTCTATGATTTGTTTTACTTCTTTCATACATATATTTCTCAAGAAGTAAAGTAATTGTTATTTCTTCTCTCTGAGGATGGAAGGTTTTATCAGTATGTTGCAGGTCTCATGACATGGGGTAGCTGGTCTCATGACGCTTTTCGATGGGCCCTCCGAGGTCATTACTGGATCTTCGTGACTTGGATGACAGCTATCTTGATTGATGTCAACGTACCCTTCTATCTATGTGTAATTGTTTAGGCTTTATGTCTTCTGAGCCAATCAGAAGTGAATGTTTATGTAATGTATGCCCTTGAAAACAGTATAACTGGTGTACGATTTTCATGTAAGGTAGAGTTAGCTTGCGACCTCCTCGTGAGACTTTGACGCTGACTCTGCCAATTAAACTGCAAACTATTCTTCAGTAAATTTTACTCTTTGATTGAACATCACGACTCCTGGTCTTCTTTCATCATCTCTGGTCCTGGGTCTGAAACTGTTACCCCCCCTAACAGTGCATACATCCTTCACAAAAGTAATCCATCCGGCTCCAGGGGGATAAACAAAGGCCTTCTGAGGGTAATCCGTGCGGTTTTGTCGTAAAAATATACATATTTAAAACTTTATAAATGAAAATATCTGACTTCCGGCAACGATCGACGCGCGTTCACGGGTGAACTGAGTGTAGTTTTGTTTTGCTCTGCACTCTGGCTGCGCAGGCGCGTTTGTTCTACGTCACGACGGTTCCTACGCTACGTCATACCTCGTACGCCGACTTCCATCACCCGTGAACGCGCGTCGATCGTTGCCGGAAGTCAGATATTTTCATTTATAAAGTTTTAAATATGTATATTTTTACGACAAAACCGCACGGATTACCCCCATAAGGCCTTTGTTTATCCCCCTGGAGCCGGATGGATTACTTCTGTGAAGGATATATGCACATTTTGGGACTTGAAGGAGGTGGACCCCATTGCTTCACATTATATCCACTGAAGGGTCTAAGACATTTTCTAAAATAACTGAAAATGTGTTCGTCTGAAACAAGATTGACATATGCATCTCGAACGGCTTGAGGGTGAGTAATGCATGTGTTAAATATCATTTTTGGCCGAACTATCCCTTTAAGTAAAAAAATCATCAAACACAACATGTGAACATTTAGAAAATAATGAAAAACTGCACAAATAAATAACCTCAGATTGTAGTTTGAGTGTGACACAGATGATCATGTGATCAGGGCGTCTTGTTACCTCGTTCTAATGATCTCCTGAGTGGCTAAACGAATGATCTCATTGAAATCAAACTGAATGTATTTCCTCCAGTATCTGCGGTCGCGTCCGTACACCTGCGCTGGGAAACACGGACTTCCTGCAGGAGGAGACGAGCACACGCTGAATTACTCGCAAATAAAACTATGTGCGATATTGACAATATTATGGGATATATCTGGACATAAAAAGTCTACACACACCTGTTTTGTTTTTGTGACGTTAAAAATTAAACAAAAATCATATTAGAACTTTTGCACCTTTAAATGTAAAAATTACAACCTATGTATGCAATGCCACTGAAAAACAAAGTGACATATTTCAGAGAAAAAAAGACTTTTTCACTGCAGAAGTGGCATTTATATTCATTTACACTTCATCTTTTAACGATTAATCATGCAGCTCTAGTTTTCTACATACTTTTAAAACAACAATTACGATATTATCATTGACAACATATATCACACACCCCTAGTTGAGAAAAATATCGGAAGAAAAACCCACCGATGCCGTGTAATATTCTGGCCACGGCTCGACCGGAGAACTTCTCATCGCTGCGACTGCACAGGAAACCTCTGATGTCAGCACAGATCTGCCCTTCCCAGTCCCTCATCTGAGGACACAACACAACCAATCAGCATTCACACCTGAGGATTCAGATATAACACATCATAAACATCTGCTCGAGATGAAACACACCTTGCATTTGTTGAGCTCTTCCTCCTCATCCTCTTCCTCCTGATAGTGTTTGCTCAGGTCCAGGTTTCTCCTCTTGTCAAAGTAATCGCGCAGAAGCTCTTTGAGATCGTGACTCCTGCTCTCCTCCAGATCATCCATACACAGACTGCAGTTACGGTACGCAACACTACACTGTCAGGGTCTTGCCCTGGCAGCTTTGTCTGTGTTGTCTTTGTTTAATGTCTCTATGTTTGTGTTGTGCTTGAACATATGGTTGTGTTTGTGTTGGCCATGTGCTCCTCTGTTCCTGCCTCCTTGTTTCCCTGTACCACGCCCTCTTGTCTAGTTGAGTCCTCGTTTGTCTGAGTGTTGTCACCTGTTCCTCATGTTCTCTGCTCCCTTGTTTCAGTCCTCGTTTACGTGAGTGTGTTCACCTGTTCCTTGTCTAAGTGTTCTCACCTGTTACTCTTGTTAACTCCCTTTATGTGTGTGCTCTTTCCCTCATGTGTTGCCAGTTCGTTAGATGTTGTACTACTGTGCTACATAGTTTGTTTCTTGTGACTAAAGTCTACAGTGTTTTATTTGTAGAAGTATTTTGTTCTTTAGTTCTGCCATCGGTCCTGTCTGTCTTGTCTTCTGTGTCTCTAGTTCCAGTCCTGCTAGCAGAGTGTCCCTGACTGCTTACACTCTTGGCTTTGGAGGAAGCCTGGTGCTGAGCCTGAGATCCCTGAGTGCCTTGCTGGAGTACTTACAAGTTCCTGTCTGGCTACTGCTAGTATTCTGAGGTCTCATTCTGCTCTGCCATTTCTACTCTCCAGCTTCCAGTCATCTTGCTAGTTACAAGTGCTGCTCGGCTAGTTACTACGGCTGTCATTATGTCTCATCCCTGCCTATTGTTTGGACTGTTCACCTCTCCCAACACATCCTGTCTTCTGTCTACTGTTTGTCAATAAAACCTGTTAACACTCGTTCTGCATTTGAGTCCTCCATCATAGACCCGTGACAGAACGAACTGGCCAGTTCAGGACTCAGCAGAATGAGCATCAAGATCCTGCCACCTGCTAACATCCAGGAGAGAATGTCTCGTCATCGTGGTCTCACTGCTCTTCGCCAGGATGGCTTTGAGGTGGGGGGTTTTGCCCAATTCTTTTGGACCATGTCTGTGGGGCTAGATTATAATGACGCTGCTCTCAAGGACATTTTTAACTCCTGCTTGGATGACCCCCTGCCTGCATGGGAGATGGATTCTCTCAGGATTCTGGATTTCTGGGGTTTCTCTAGGTACCTTGGTAATCGCAGTAAGTGGGGAATGCCGCCCAGTCCACCGGAATCTGCTTTCAACAACCACCCTGCTCTTCCTCGCCTGTCTCGTCACATTTATGATCCTCCTCTGGCTTCCACTAAAGAACTAAGATTCAGATGGAATAGGGCAGTCCAATCCACCACAGCTACACCAGAGTCAGTCAAACAAACCGCCATCTCTCAGGGATCCAGGTCAGTCCCAGTCACTTCAATATCTGTTATTCAAGACCCAGTCAAGTCAACCGCTGTCATCTCTCAGACTATTAAGGCAGTTCCAGCCACCTCTGAGTCTGCTGACTTAACCTCTGTTTTCCCAGTAACTACCCAGAGTGTTCCTGTTACTTCAGAGTCTGCTAGGTCTGTTTCAGTCACTGCTGAGTCGACGGTCACTGCTATTCTGCCTGGTTTGGCTGAGTTAGCTGTAGATACTACAGAGGCTGTCCAGCACACAGTATCAGCCCGTCGAAGGAGGAAGAAGAGAAAGGCCTGTGCAGAACAGTCTACAATTCTCCATTCTCAAGCTCCAGGTCCAGTGGTTCCTGAGGTATCAATTCCAGTAGAACCATTTTCTAAGCCTTTGACTAGTAATGTCATTCCCTCAGAGACAATTTCTCCCAGTCCTGTCATGTTCACAGAGGTCATTCCCAAGCTGCCTGTTGTCATTGCCGCAGAGGCCTTCTCTGAATGTCTTACAAGTCTTGTCAAGTCCCTAGACATTTCTGCCAAGCCTGTCAAGACTGCAGAATGCGAGCCCGCTGCTGTGAAGGCGGTCCCCGAGCCCGCTGCTGTGAAGGCGGTCCCCGAGCCCGCTGCTGAGAGGGCGGTCCCCGAGCCCGCTGCTGAGAGGGCGGTCCCCGAGCCCGCTGCTGAGAGGGCGGTCCCCGAGCCCGCTGCTGAGAGGGCGGTCCCCGAGCCCGCTGCTGAGAGGGCGGTCCCCGAGCCCGCTGCTGAGAGGGCGGTCCCAGAGCCCGCTGAGGTGAGCGTTGCTCCAGAGAGCGCAGTCCCTGTGCACGCCAGCGCAGCCCAGGAGGGCGCTCACGAGTCAGTCCCCGAGCATGCCAGCGCTGCCCAGGAGGGCGCTCACGAGTCAGTCCCCGAGCATGCCAGCGCAGCCCAGGAGGGCGCTAATGAGTCAATCCCAGAGCAAGCCAGCGCGGCCCAGGAGGGCACTCCTGAGTCAGTCCCTGTACCTGATTCCAAGACCTTCACCAATCCTGCTAGTCATGTCTTTGCCCCCAAGTCTGTCAAGCCCAGTTGGAAGTCCAGACCAGTTAGGCCAGTTCCTGTGTCCAAGAGTACCTCCTATCAAGTTCCCATTCCTCCCGTCTCACCCTCTGCGTTTCCTGGTTATGGTTCCCCTAAGCCGGCACCTCCTTTGTCAGCCTTGAACTTTTTACCCGGTTCTGTTCCCACCCGCCCCATCCCTCCCTCTGTGTTTCCTGGTCTTCTATGTTCTATGTTTACGCCCCACCCGCCTCCCCAGTTGTTGCCTCCTTGGACTTCTATGCCTGTTTTGGACGCCTGGAGGCGTCCATTAGATGGGGGGTACTGTCAGGGTCTTGCTCTGGCAGCTTTGTCTGTGTTGTCTTTGTTTAATGTCTCTATGTTTGTGTTGTGCTTGAACATATGGTTGTGTTTGTGTTGGCCATGTGCTCCTCTGTTCCTGCCTCCTTGTTTCCCTGTACCACGCCCTCTTGTCTAGTTGAGTCCTCGTTTGTCTGAGTGTTGTCACCTGTTCCTCATGTTCTCTGCTCCCTTGTTTCAGTCCTCGTTTACGTGAGTGTTCACCTGTTCCTTGTCTAAGTGTTCTCACCTGTTACTCTTGTTAACTCCCTTTATGTGTGTGCTCTTTCCCTCATGTGTTGCCAGTTCGTTAGATGTTGTACTTCTGTGCTACATAGTTTGTTTCTTGTGACTAAAGTCTACAGTGTTTTATTTGTAGAAGTATTTTGTTCTTTAGTTCTGCCATCGGTCTTGTCTTCTGTGTCTCTAGTTCCAGTCCTGCTAGCAGAGTGTCCCTGACTGCTTACACTCTTGGCTTTGGAGGAAGCCTGGTGCTGAGCCTGAGATCCCTGAGTGCCTTGCTGGAGTACTTACAAGTTCCTGTCTGGCTACTGCTAGTATTCTGAGGTCTCATTCTGCTCTGCCATTTCTACTCTCCAGCTTCCAGTCATCTTGCTAGTTACAAGTGCTGCTCGGCTAGTTATGTTGTGGCAAATTCTCGATCTTTGGTTCAATTCTTCAAAGTCTGGTTCAGGTCTCAGAAGAAATCTTTCAGAGTCGAAGTTTCAGGTCTCAGAAGAATAACTTTATTGAGTAGTTCAACAAAGTGAGATGGTAGCTAGTCATCTGACTTCACAAGGGCCAGTGCTCAGGTCTTATACCGTTTTCTTATCGTTAAGTGTCCAATTAGCGCTCATACAGTTATCTTTTTCTACTTGCTCCTCCTTGGCCTGTCGCCACGATTAGAAACACCTGCATCGTTATTTTATTTTTAATTGGGGCAACCTTCTTTGCGCATGCGTATCTTTTAAAAATGGCTTTATACATGATTTTCAGGTACTTTTCCATGCCCTTTCACCCAGTTTCTTCTCCTGTCCTTAACCAACCTGCCTTTTTCATGTCCTTTCACCCAGTTTCTTCTCCTGTCCTTATCTAACCTCCCCTCAGGCCTAATTTTCTGTTCATCTCATATCCTTAGGCCTGGTTTTCTCCAATATTACAGCATTTAGACCTGGTTTTCTCTAGCATTACAGCATCTTATATTCAGACCCATGTATGAGACATGTATGAGACAAATGAAATTCCCCAACACAAGTTACTACGGCTGTCATTGTGTCTCATCCCTGCCTATTGTTTGGACTGTTCACCTCTCCCAACACATCCTGTCTTCTGTCTACTGTTTGTCAATAAAACCTGTTAACACTCGTTCTGCATTTGAGTCCTCCATCATAGACCCAAAAACACACACACAAAAACACATACAGGAGGAGATATTAAAGATGATGCCATTCCCTCAAGTCAAATGTCAGTGCATGTAAAAGACCAATCACATGTGCGTATGCAAATCTTGCAATGACTTTTGAATGCTAAATACTCTATCAGTGAAAGACAACAAGATTTTCAAAATACACTATTGTTCAAAAGTTTAGGTTCTGCTGTTCTTATAAACTGTGGCACTTTAAAACTGCTATAATTCAGCTGGATAAATGATCACTTTTTCATTTATTAGATGCTTTTATCCGAAGTGACTTCCGATAAAGAAGTCTGAGTGATGAGGTCAGCGGTGTGGAGTGTGTGTGTGTGACGGGTCGGACCTGCGGAAGGCTTTGAAGCAGGTTTTGAGCTGGTACAGCTGCGTCCTCTCCTGCGCCATCACTCTCCCGTGCAGAAACGCCCCGACCGCGTCCAGCTCATCCGGCGTCAGGTCACAGTACGAGCGGAAGTAGAAGGACAGCGCTGAGAACTCCACGTGAACTCCACTCCTGCCTGTGCCTCCGTACGAACCTGAGGAGAACACGGGACACAACGTCAGACAATACAACATGATAGAACAGAACGGAACAAAACAGAATAAAATAAAACAGAACAAAAAAGAATAGAATAGAGCTAAATAGAATAAAACCGAAAGGCAGAATCGTGCCTTTAGAGCGATTCAAAAATAGAATCACTCTATAGAAATAACAATTTCAATAGAATATAAAAAAATAGAACAGGATAGAGCAAAATTAAATTGAACAGAAAAGGGTAACTTAATAGAACAGAACAAATATAACAGAGTAAAATAAAATGGAACAGAAAAGCAAGCACACAACAATAGAATAGTAGAATAATAGAATATAATAGAATACAAGATAATAAAGTAGAACACAACATAATAGAATAGAACATAATAGAGTGCAAAATACAGATTAGAACAGATTAGAGTCAAATAAAATTGTCATAACAATAGAATAGACAATACAACAACATTAATATAATAGAATAAAACAATTAAAATAGAAGAGAAGAGTAAAATAGAATGGAGAAGGGCAACATAATATAATAGAGTAAAATAAAATAAAACAAAAACACACAACATAATAGAATAGTATAGAATAAAACAGAACACAACATAATAAAATAGAAATAGAATATAATAGCCTATAGGAAAAAAGGAATAGAGCATAATAGAATATAAAAAAACAGAATAGAGTGCAAAATAATACAATTAAACAATAGAATAGAACCACATGATTCCAGCCCACATGTTTAATTATGTATTATTTGTTTAATAATCTTCTGATCAAATATTTTTCATGACAATTAAGGGAAGGTAACTAGATTTTGTATGATAGAGGTCAGACTGTTCCTCTCACCGCAGCCCCACTGCAGCTGTCTCAGGCCTCTCTTCACCAGAGGAAGCTGCCAGCCCATAGTGTCCGCCAGCTCCACCACGTCCAACTCCAGCGCGTCACATGACTCCACACGCTCGCCCGCCATGCGCTTCCTCGCCAGCGTCACAGCGACCGGAGGACACCTGAGCACACGCAGATTCACCACACACGCCTCTGAAGAGCTCTTATAAAGCTTATAATGCTGTGTGTGAGAGTGTGACGTACAGTTTGGTGATCTTGCGCAGCTGTTGTGGCCCGCCGTAACACTGCAGCTTGCAGACGGAGAGAGTCGGGTGGAGGAGCTCCACCCACTGCTGAGGATGAAGCTCCAGGTAACACAACAGAGTCTCCAGACCTAAACACACACACACACACACACACTGAGCCATATAGATCTTAACTGAAGAAGATAAATAGTTCACCCAAAAAATCACATTGACATTGTTTAATCACCCATTCCAAATAAATGCTGTTCTTTTGATCTTTCCATTAATAAAAGAATCCTAGAGTATGTTTATGCAATTTTTTGGCAAAATCAGAATAAATTACAGTGGTCAACATTTGAAGTGGATCAAAACCTTTTATCAGAGTTAAACATGAATTTTGAACAATACCCGTTCTTGTCTTAGGAGAACTTTGATGACCTTTTTTGATCCACTTCAAATGTTGACTACTGTATATTGCAATAACTTGTGAGGTGGATAAATATTTTAATCAATTTTTAATCGTTTTTGCGCTGTTTTTCTGAATTAACGAGTTAATTATCTCAGAATTACGAGATCATTTTTCATGGAAAAAAGTTTTTGCGCTGTTTTTCTGAATTAACGAGTTAATTATCTCAGAATTATGAGATATTTTTTCATGGAAAAAAGTTTTTGCTCTGTTTTTCTGAATTAACGAGTTAATTATCTCAGAATTATGAGATATTTTTCATGGAAAAAAGTTTTTGCTCTGTTTTTCTGAATTAACGAGTTAATTATCTCAGAATTACGAGATATTTTTCATGGAAAAAAGTTTTTGCTCTGTTTTTCTGAATTAACGAGTTAATTATCTCAGAATTACGAGATATTTTTCATGGAAAAAAGTTTTTGCTCTGTTTTTCTGAATTAACGAGTTAATTATCTCAGAATTACGAGATATTTTTCATGGAAAAAAGTTTTTGCTCTGTTTTTCTGAATTAACAAGTTAATATTTCAGAATTACGAGATCATTTTTCATGAAAAAAAGTTTTTGCGCTGTTTTTCTGAATTAACGAGTTAATTATCTCAGAATTATGAGATACATTTTTTTATGGAAAAAAGTTTTTGCGCTGTTTTTCTGAATTAACGAGTTAATTATCTCAGAATTACGAGATAATTTTTCATGGAAAAAAGTGTTTGCTCTGTTTTTCTGAATTAACGAGTTAATTATCTCAGAATTACGAGATAATTTTTCATGGAAAAAAGTTTTGCGCTGTTTTTCTGAATTAAGGAGTTAATATCTCAGAATTATGAGATACATTTTTCTTTAAAAAAAAAATTTCACTCTGTTTTTATGAATTAATGAGTTAATTATCTCAGAATTACGAGATATTTTTTCATGGAAAAAAGTTTTTGCGCTGTTTTTCTGAATTAATGAGTTAATTATCTCAGAATTATGAGATACATTTTTTTATGGAAAAAAGTTTTTGCGCTGTTTTTCTGAATTAACAAGTTAATATCTCAGAATTCCGAGATCATTTTTCATGGAAAAAAGTTTTTGCGCTGTTTTTCTGAATTAACGAGTTAATTATCTCAGAATTACGAGATATTTTTTCATGGAAAAAAGTTTTTGCTCTGTTTTTCTGAATTAACGAGTTAATTATCTCAGAATTACGAGATATTTTTCATGGAAAAAAGTTTTTGCTCTGTTTTTCTGAATTAACGAGTTAAATATCTCAGAATTACGAGATATTTTTCATGGAAAAAAGTTTTTGCGCTGTTTTTCTGAATTAACGAGTTAATTATCTCAGAATTACGAGATATTTTTCATGGAAAAAAGTTTTTGCGCTGTTTTTCTGAATTAACGAGTTAATTATCTCAGAATTATGAGATATTTTTCATGGAAAAAAGTTTTTGCTCTGTGTTTCTGAATTAACGAGTTAATTATCTCAGAATTACGAGATATTTTTCATGGAAAAACAGTTTTTGCTCTGTTTTTCTGAATTAACGAGTTAAATATCTCAGAATTACGAGATATTTTTCATGGAAAAAAGTTTTTGCGCTGTTTTTCTGAATTAACGAGTTAATTATCTCAGAATTACGAGATATTTTTCATGGAAAAAAGTTTTTGCGCTGTTTTTCTGAATTAACGAGTTAATTATCTCAGAATTACGAGATATTTTTCATGGAAAAAAGTTTTTGCTCTGTTTTTCTGAATTAACAAGTTAATATCTCAGAATTACGAGATAATTTTTCATGGAAAAAAGTTTTTGCTCTGTTTTTCTGAATTAACAAGTTAATATCTCAGAATTACGAGATAATGTTTCATGGAAAAAGTTTTGCGCTGTTTTTCTGAATTAACGAGTTAATTATCTCAGAATTACGAGATAATTTTTCATGGAAAAAAGTTTTTGCGCTGTTTTTCTGAATTAACGAGTTAATTATCTCAGAATTATGAGATACATTTTTTTATGGAAAAAAGTTTTTGCGCTGTTTTTCTGAATTAACGAGTTAATTATCTCAGAATTACGAGATAATTTTTCATGGAAAAAAGTTTTTGCGCTGTTTTTCTGAATTAACGAGTTAATTATCTCAGAATTATGAGATACATTTTTTTATGGAAAAAAGTTTTTGCGCTGTTTTTCTGAATTAACGAGTTAATTATCTCAGAATTACGAGATAATTTTTCATGGAAAAAAGTGTTTGCTCTGTTTTTCTGAATTAACGAGTTAATTATCTCAGAATTACGAGATATTTTTTCATGGAAAAAAGTTTTGCGCTGTTTTTCTGAATTAAGGAGTTAATATCTCAGAATTATGAGATACATTTTTCTTTAAAAAAAAAATTTCACTCTGTTTTTATGAATTAATGAGTTAATTATCTCAGAATTACGAGATATTTTTTCATGGAAAAAAGTTTTTGCGCTGTTTTTCTGAATTAATGAGTTAATTATCTCAGAATTATGAGATACATTTTTTTATGGAAAAAAGTTTTTGCGCTGTTTTTCTGAATTAACAAGTTAATATCTCAGAATTCCGAGATCATTTTTCATGGAAAAAAGTTTTTGCGCTGTTTTTCTGAATTAACGAGTTAATTATCTCAGAATTACGAGATATTTTTTCATGGAAAAAAGTTTTTGCTCTGTTTTTCTGAATTAACGAGTTAATTATCTCAGAATTACGAGATATTTTTCATGGAAAAAAGTTTTTGCTCTGTTTTTCTGAATTAACGAGTTAAATATCTCAGAATTACGAGATATTTTTCATGGAAAAAAGTTTTTGCGCTGTTTTTCTGAATTAACGAGTTAATTATCTCAGAATTACGAGATATTTTTCATGGAAAAAAGTTTTTGCGCTGTTTTTCTGAATTAACGAGTTAATTATCTCAGAATTATGAGATATTTTTCATGGAAAAAAGTTTTTGCTCTGTGTTTCTGAATTAACGAGTTAATTATCTCAGAATTACGAGATATTTTTCATGGAAAAACAGTTTTTGCTCTGTTTTTCTGAATTAACGAGTTAAATATCTCAGAATTACGAGATATTTTTCATGGAAAAAAGTTTTTGCGCTGTTTTTCTGAATTAACGAGTTAATTATCTCAGAATTACGAGATATTTTTCATGGAAAAAAGTTTTTGCGCTGTTTTTCTGAATTAACGAGTTAATTATCTCAGAATTACGAGATATTTTTCATGGAAAAAAGTTTTTGCTCTGTTTTTCTGAATTAACAAGTTAATATCTCAGAATTACGAGATAATTTTTCATGGAAAAAAGTTTTTGCTCTGTTTTTCTGAATTAACAAGTTAATATCTCAGAATTACGAGATATTTTTCATGGAAAAAAGTTTTTGCGCTGTTTTTCTGAATTAACGAGTTAATTATCTCAGAATTACGAGATATTTTTCATGGAAAAACAGTTTTTGCTCTGTTTTTCTGAATTAACGAGTTAAATATCTCAGAATTACGAGATATTTTTCATGGAAAAAAGTTTTTGCGCTGTTTTTCTGAATTAACGAGTTAATTATCTCAGAATTATGAGATACATTTTTTTATGGAAAAAAGTTTTTGCGCTGTTTTTCTGAATTAACGAGTTAATTATCTCAGAATTACGAGATAATTTTTCATGGAAAAAAGTTTTTGCGCTGTTTTTCTGAATTAACGAGTTAATTATCTCAGAATTACGAGATACATTTTTCATGGAAAAAAGTTTTTGCGCTGTTTTTCTGAATTAATGAGTTAATATCTCAAAATTATGAGATACATTTTTCTTAAAAAAAAAAATTTTCACTCTGTTTTTATGAATTAATGAGTTACTCATTACAGATAATTAAGTCATTAAATCAGAAAAACAGAGCAAAAACTTTTTTCCATGAAAAATTATCTCGTAATTCTGAGATACCCGGTAATTAACTCGTTAATTCAGAAAAACAGAGTAGATTTTTTCCCTCAAGTGAATGCGATACGCTTCCGTAAAAATCTGAGTGGATTACATCGCTTGATTTCCTTTGATTTCTCGATTTGTTTAATTAAAGGGAATTCTAGATTTGTAAATGAGCAGCTCAGGAAAGAGTCCGAGTTTTTCGGCCACAGACGTCTGATCTTCTACAGTGTTTGTAGAATCTGAACCTCATGTTTCCACACTGCCACACAGACACAGAAGAGCGAACATCTCACCTGAATGTCCTGTGATAGACCACACAGAGCTTTTGTTCATATATATCTCTATAGCACTTGTGTTCTTCTGTGTTTGAAGGGATGTTTCCAGCAGAACAGAGAGAGACGATGATAACACATGATTCGGTGAATCTCACAAAAAATGTCTGGGTCTCGCATTTCACCCCGAGGAGTAATACATAAGAAATGAAAAACATCCTTTATTTTATTTATTGTTTACATCCAATTAAATTCAGTACAACAAATACTACCATGATGTATGCTTCAAAATTTAAATACGTTTTAGTTATTATTTGTGTTATTTGCAGTAAGCGAAC